CATTTTGCCACATTAAGAGGTAATCTATTGTCAGCGCACCAGGAGTTTACCAAATCCAAATTTCTCTGCAGATTACGTGCATCACGTTCATTGGCTATGGGACAAAATATCTTCATATCATCCGCATATAATAGGAAACGCACATCCAGATCCAATGCTATATCATTGATAAAAATCGCAAACAACAAGGGCCCCAGGACAGAACCTTGTGGAACCCCTGAGGATTGAGCAAATTCCATTGACCTTTCTCCCATAATCTGGACAAACTGAGTTCTGTCAGATAAGTAAGAGGCCATGAGCTCCAACAATGAAGAACCCAACCCCGCGGAATCTAGTTTCGACAATAATAAACCGTGGTCAAGACGGTCGAAAGCCTTCGAAAAATCCGTGTACAAGACATCCACCTGACCTCCCCTATCAATCACCTCATGGATATACTGCGCCATACACGCCAAATTGGTAACCGTGGAACGCCCTTCAACAAAACCATGCTGCTCTGGTAGGATAATATTTCTAAGGTGAAATGACAAAATATTATGTAGGGCTATTTCAAAAATTTTGCCGAAATTACATAGTATTGCAATTGGTCTATAATTTTTTATGTCATTCCTGTTATCTTTTTTATATATGGGACAGATTTTCGAAGTTTTCCAACGATCGGGAAATGTATGAGTGGACAGTATTCGGTTAAATATTATAAGAAGAGGCTTGGCAAACACAGTAGCACAATCTTTGATAAGAAAGGCAGGTATGAGATCGGGACCCATGGTCATTTTAGGTTTTAGTTTTTTTATGGAATTAAGTACATCGTTGTGTGAGAAAATTACATCAGAAAGAGCATTGGTATTAATATTAAGATTGGTGCTGCACAAAGGATCACTATTGTCACTGTTTACGAATGAGGAAGCAAAGTAGTCAGCAAAGGAATCGGCAATTTGTTTAGTATCATTTAACGACATGTTGTCGTATGTCATGATATTTGGGATGGTAAAAATGGTAAAAATTGACTAAGAGTTGTAGAAATTTGTGTGTACGGGCTTTTTGATCCTGAAAAATATACCCAACGACCCTGGGCCCCCCCAGGGGGGCAAGCGGGGGGTCTTCTGTAAAACATCGAATGGCTGAGTAATTGCCTTCTAAATCCCCACCCAGGGGTTTTTGGGGTCGGGGATTTCGATTCTGACACTGAAACATATGTACGACGCTCCAGCCCCCCCCAGGGAGCAAGGGGGGGCCTTCTGTAAAACACCGAATAGCTGAGTAATTGCCTTCTAAATTTCTACTCGGGGGTTTTCGGGGTCGGGGATTCCGAATCTGACACTGGAAAATATCCATTAATATTAACTTATCTAACACTGAGAAAAATTGTCGTAGAATTGGAGAAATCCTGGACAATCCGTTCCCAAGAGACACATTTCGTTAAATCAAAGAAATATTCCTTAAAACCGAGGAATATTTCATGGATCATGGATTTTCAAAAAAAAATCTCTTGGGCCCGTGCGATTGCGGATAATGCATAACAATTCCCGACAAAATCCGATTATCGACAATGCAGATCTTGTGGGTGCAGGAAGCATGGAATTACATGCACAACTGTTCCAATCCTGAAATAGTCGAAAATGTAATATAGATGAAAGTGATGGAGACACTGATGATGAAAATTGTGATTGATAGTGAAAATGTTAGATAAACATATGATAGTAGTTGTCTCACTAATTGCCTTGCAAATAAAAAGAAAATTGGTTCTCAGAATAAAGTGGATTCTTTTCGACTCATTAATTTCCTGTTAGTTTTTCTTACCCTTCTTGTCTAATCTCTGTAAATTGGCGTGTGTTACAATGTAAAGATGAGCCTACAAGATCATGGTTGGTAAGCGGATGGAGCAGTTTTATTGCAAAAATCTGCCTTTCGAAGTTTTCCAGAAAGCCCACCCCGGGCGTCATGCATACTTTTTAGTATCAGAATCGGAATTCCCGACCCCAGAAACTCCGAGTGGAAATTTAGAAGGCAATTACTCAGCTATTCAATGTTTTACAGAAGCCCCCCCTCCCCTTGCCCCCACTGGGGGCTCCAGGGGCGTCGGGCATACTTATCAGTGTCAGAATTGAAATCCCCGACCCCAAAAACCCCCGAGTGGAAATTTAGAAGGCAATTACTCAGCTATTCGGTGTTTTACAGAAGGCCCTCCTTGCCCCCTGAGGGGGCTCAGGGGCGTTGGACATACGTTTCACCGTCAGAATCGAAATCCCTGACCCCAAAAACCCCGAATGGGGATTTAGAAGGCAATTACTCAGCTATTCGATGTTTTGCAGAAGGCTCCCCCTTGCACCACTGGAGAGCCCCAGGGCCTTCGGGCATATTTTTCAGGGTCAGATTCGGAATCTCCGACCCCGAAAACCTAATTTCTACAACTTTTAGTCAATTTTTACCATATTTACAAAATTCGGAAAAATTGATGCACTCCAAGATGCACTTTATGCACCCGCAGTGCAGTTTCGATCCAGCCCCAAAGTGTAATATATAGATTTTTCCGAAAAATGTCGAAAACCGCAACTCTATCGGTTCATCAGAAAAAAATTGCTGATTTATTGTCTAACTTACCTGGTCTAGAAGTAACAGTCTTCTTCTGACTTTAATATCAGCCATATAGTTGGAGTTAAATATTGAGAGAGCTGCGTGGCTGAGTTTTCGCAACGTCACTCGAAACTTTTTACAGAACCACAAAAGCCAGAACCACGATACTATTGTAATAGAAATATTAAGAAACTACCAACACTTATGATGTTTGATGAATATACATACATATATTAATTTCTTGATGGAAATGATTTTGTGAACTCTTTCCCTGAAACCTAACTGACCATAGCCAGGAGCAGGGTGAATGCAAGATGTGAAAGAAATTGAAGTAGGTAAGACAGAAGAGCAGATGGGATGACAATGACGGTTGGTTGCTGAAAAAAAAAACTGAAGACAGTAATAAAAGAGTCCGAAATCCACAACGCAGGTCCTCCGAAGACAAAACAGCACGTTACAAATATAAGAAATAGTTTCGAGTTTGAATCTTTCCAATCAAGATTAAACTTTTAGCATTCTATACCTCAACAAACGAAGCATTTCCGGTCACATGTTAATAGGAACTTTTGTTTAATGATCAAACTGGGGCTTCAATCGTTTTCTACTTAACCAGTGTCAGATTCGTGTTCAGCGCATCAAAATACTTAATATTAAGGTTTATACTGGTTAGAAAAATTTTTTTAAGAAATGTTTAGCGATTTTGTCACATACTGTGGGTGCTGGAGTAAAACCAATGACGGATTCGGGTACAGCACGTCAAAATACATGTAGTATTAGGCTTCGTGTAATTTCCAGGTCAGCAGACTTTTTTATTTTGTGTGTCTATGTAATTATTGTTTCACAAATTGTAGAGAGTTCACTCATGAAAAAAATGAAAAATAATATTTTATTTTCTTTTCTACAAGATAATTTTGAATGAACAAACATCATGAATATAGAGATGAATAGCTGCTTTAAAAAATGCAATAAAGAAAAAAAAGACTGTATAAAATTTAATAAGTAGGTTATATGCAATTTAATAAGTAGGTTATATATGTTAACAAAATTAAAGTTTTTGAATGATATTTGAAAATATCAACCAAATTATTCTTGGAAAAAAAAAGTGCGTTCTTCATTCGTGAAAGTTAAACTCGTTTTTTCTTTTACACTTGACCGTGAAACATACTAATTATATCGCAGTGTATAATGCCAAAATGCTTGACAAAACTTTAATGGCAGATTTTATATCATAAATTTATAAAAAAAGTTGTAAATGCCGATAATATTTCCTTTTCAAGATGTAAAATTAAAGAAGTTATATTTTACTTCAACTTGCGGGAAATTAGCTGTTTAACCAATGTCTATACATTGAATTATTAATTCCATTAATACATTATGCCACAAGAACTTTTCTATAAAATCATTAATGAAGATCTATATAAGACCTAATAGATAAATCATTAATTAAAAATATTTTGAAAGGAAAAAGAATCCGACCGAAAATTACTAAATCCACGCCCTAAGCTATTACCGTATATTCAAAAATAATTATAGCATAGGTACGCCTATGAATAATCAAAAACAAAAATTTAAAAAATACGATTTTTGTTAAACTTAACCATCCTATAACGAGTATATCTTAAAAACGAAGCATTCCCATGTACATTTTTATAGGAACTTTTTTTGTCGATTTATGATGTAGATATATTGTGGGATGATATTTATTTAAAAAAATAGAATTAAAAAAAATAGGTAGAGATTTAAGTAGGAACAATATGGGTCCATCCCTGTGGGCCATCCTAAAAGAATGAAAAGATTATCTAATTTTCTAATAAAAAATGGTCTCTATAAATGTGACCAGTATTTGCTAACCTATTTTAAATACTTCTATTTTTGTACATTACGTTAATTAATTACTTATCTCGATAGGTACTTCCCCGAAAAAAAAAAGGGAAATTAAATCAGATGTATTTTTGAACTACTGATTACCTACTTGTACTACTTGTAGACCGATGGTCTCTGACAATAATAAACATAACCTATAATTTTCTGCATATCGCGAATAGTGAACGTTTATGTTGTGGTTTACCGTAGTGTAAAAAAAAGATAAAGAAAAATGTCTTTAGCCGATGAATTATTAGCGGATTTGGAGGAAAATGATCAGGATGAATTTGGAGATGCCATGGAAACAGAGGAAGAAGAGCCCGAAAAAGAGGAAAAACCTGACATTATAAAAGATCTTATGGAAGTGGATACCGCACAAGTAACGTCAGTACGAGAATTATGTAAATTAAGAGATTCCCATAAATTGAGAGATATTATGAGACAGATTGACAGCTATGGTACGAAAGTTAGGAAAGCTGCAGAAATTATAGGACCTGTTGAAGCAGATCCCGAATACCAGCTAATCGTAGAAGCCAACAACATTGCTCAGGACGTAGATAATGAAATAGGTATATGATATTATTTGTTTTTAAAAAATGTTTGCATTACATTGTTTAACTTTTTCAGTTGCTGTTCATAAATTTGTCAGAGATAAATACCAAAAAAGATTTCCTGAATTGGAGTCACTAGTCGTTAGTCCTTTAGAATATGTGAGAACAGTTAAAGAACTAGGAAATGATTTAGATCAGGCCAAGAATAATGAAATATTACAACAGTTTCTCACACAAGCTACTATTATGGTTGTATCAGTAACTGCTTCTACAACCCAGGGGTAAGCATTAATTAAGATTTTTGTATCAAACAGGCATTTTTTATGATTAATTTTATAGGACCATGCTGACAAAATTTGAAAAAGAGCAAATTGACGAAGGTTGTGACATGGCAATGGAATTAAATAACTTTAAATTAAAGATATATGAATATGTAGAAAGTCGCATGGCATTTATAGCACCAAACATATCAGTTATTCTTGGTGCTTCTATAGCAGCTAAGTTGATGGGAGTAGCAGGAGGATTAACAAGATTATCTAAAATACCAGCATGCAATGTATTACTTCTTGGTCAACAGAAGAAATCATTATCAGGATTTTCACAGACGACCATGTTGCCGCACACAGGATTTGTCTATTATTCTGAGATAGTACAAAATACTCCTCCGGTATGTCTGAGTCAAGAATAATAATTATATTTTTAATAATATTTGCCATCAATTTTCTTTTAGGATTTGAGAAGAAAAGCTGCAAGACTTGTGGCAACAAAATGCACCCTTGCTGCAAGAGTAGATGCTTGCCACGAAAGCGCCGATGGAAGAATTGGTAGAATGCTTAGAGACGAAATAGAACGTAAATTGGACAAGCTACAAGAACCGCCACCAGTTAAATTTGTTAAGCCTTTACCTAAACCTATAGATCAGCCCAAGAAGAAAAGAGGTGGTAAACGAGTTAGGAAAATGAAGGAAAGATATGCTATGACTGAATTTAGAAAACAAGCCAACAGAATGAATTTTGCAGATGTAAGTTTTAAACAAATATTTCTTTGTAAAGCAGATTTTTTTAAATTGGTGGTATTTTAGATTGAAGATGATGCCTATCAAGAGGATTTAGGCTATTCAAGAGGCACCATAGGAAAAGCTGGTACAGGCAGAATTCGATTGCCTCAAGTTGATGAAAAAACTAAAGTTAGGATATCGAAAACTTTACAGAAAAACCTCCAGAAGCAACAAATTTGGGGAGGTAGTACAACAGTGAAAAAGCAAATATCTGGAACTGCTTCTAGTGTGGCTTTCACACCACTTCAGGTAAAGCGAGCAAAATTGTTTTCCTATTCACAATTTAAAGAACAGTACTTTATTTATTTCATACTTACAAAATATCAAGAAAACCAATTCCAAATAATCTTTTTCCATTCCCCTTTAAAAATTTAATACATGTTTAATTTTTTTTTTAATTTATGCTGAAAAAAGTACCTAAAATATTTAATTTCGATTTACCATGTCAAATAATATAGTTTGTGAAAATTCCAGTTTATAATTATTCAGTAGAGCAAAAAAGTGAATTGTAGATTAATATTAACTATTATTGGCTACTGCTGGAGCTGTCCACTTAGCAATAAAACAAAACATCAAAACGTCCAATGTATATGTAACGAAAATTCTTAATTTTAAAGCTTCCACCAAATATGCCGTCATTTTCCCATATATTATTTTGAGGCATTTTAATGAAGCATGATAAAAAAAGTAATTACTGCATTTATTTGTGTATGTAAATCAGCAATTTTACTGTCGTAAATTGAATGTCGGAAACAATTTTTGGTAATTTTAATACAGAGCCTTCATAACAACAATGCACGACTGGTACTGATAACAAAAATTCCCTAAGTTTTGACTTCACCAATATTAATGATTCGTTTCCAATGAACAATGACAAACCGTTATGTCTACACTCGAGATAATGCGATCGTTAATTGGTGTAGTTTTTCACATTCTATTCAACCAATCAGCGATTGCATTATCTCGAGTGTAGACGTACCGGTTTGTCATTGTTCATTGGAAAAGAATCGTTAATATTGGTAAAGACAAGATATAGGGAATTTTCCGTACTAATACCAATCGTGCATTGCTTGGTTCCGTAAGCTCGGCGGTCATGCGGCTTGTAAACATTTATGAAGGCCCTGTATGTACCAAACTGCTGGACAAAGTAGTGTAACTTTAAACAACTGCCTCAGCTAGCCAGTAGTGTATATATCTGATCAGAAACTACGACATATATCGATGTCAGATTTCACCTTTTTGATTTGTATACATATTTCTTCATGATATTACACAGAAATTTAACAATTAAGACAAAGACACCCTACCAACAGTAAATACAAATAGTTTGGTAAAACTTTATGTTTTACATCTACGCAAGTCCAAACAGCGCTGCACTATAAAAAATCTATTTGAATTCAAGTAAAATGTGATACTTCACATAGAAAGCTGCTGTATTACAAACATCTTGTATTCACAATCAAAATATATGTAAAAGTATAGGTGACATATTCGGACAGTCGTTTCTCCAAATTAACCGTTTGTCTTCTGCCCACCTAACGCCCTGTTACTGTATCACATCAAGCCGATTGATATTATATAGCGAACCTAAACTAGTAGATCAGTATCAGAGGTATTGACACTGAGATTCACAAATTAAACGTTAAAAAATTTGTAATAAATATTTTTTATTAAACATTTGGACGATTAAAAAAAATTCAAGTTTATCAGATTAGTATTTTTATTTTTTATTATGCAAATTTTATAAAACAGCAAAAATTATTATTTTAAAACAAAAATTAGTCTACTTTGTTCCATTTGTAGAAACAGAACCGTATCGATCAAATCGTACAAACCAACATTATATGTTTTTTTGCTTATATACTTCGAACTATCAGCACAGTTTATTCAGTTGAATTAAACGTGCGATCAATGACACTTTAAAAATGTCTACCCAGCAGCGGTGAAAGTAATAGCATTGAACAATAAAAGGGAAAATTGTACAAAATGGTGCAAGAATTGGTTTTTGATAAGGATGATTTCTCATATCAATTTATTAAACAAATTAATGTTAGAATCAGGAGACTGGTACAATTGTTTGCGTTGCCTACATATAAGCATTTCTCTTGACACATTTTTGCCCAGTTTTTTAAGTTTGTTTACTAATCCTTCATATACCGCATTCTTCATACGTGGATCTTTTGATTTAATTACTTAGATATGGAAAATTTTTATACAAATCTCAGAATTCTTTAGAATTCATCCTTGTGGTCGGTGTACCTATTTGCTACGCACTGAGTGGAACAAACAGAACACACACACTGCAATCCGGGAATGTGCACTCCTGTTTGTATGTTTAGAAAATTGAACCAATACAGATTTTACACCATAGTTAAACCATACCGCTTTTCTCTTTAGCCACCCCTAAAAAACTGGCACCGACTTAGAGATCTTTTAATATCTCATGAGCCGCGAAATGCGCGAAAGGCGTGGCGTATCCCCATAATTCTTCTAATAAACACGTTGTGAAAACATTGACTCAGAATTAGACCACGTGCCTCATTACAACTAGAAATGAACTAAGGCGCTCGGGCATCAATAAAGTCAACTGACGAACGTTCGTTATATATATTTTTATTGTTTAAATTAAAATAATAAAGAATCAATAATAAAGAATTTTATTATGATATTTGTAATCGGATCAAAGACTTGTTTACGCTAGAGCTCGAGAGAGACTGTGAATAATAAGCGTAATGTTTTTAGGACGTAGAATAATTTAGGCGGCGGTCGGAATTATGTTTCTGCGCATATGAAGGTCAAAGCTCATAAGATTTTAAAACATCTCTACCTTGTTTAGTTGACACAAAAAGTCGGTAATTGAAACTAGAACTTTTAGATATACAGTGTGTTTCACTTAAAGTCGGAACACCTCCATATTTAGGATGGCATTGGCCAATTTCCAAAATTCTTTTTTTTATATGGTACTACTCAAAAAGGCCTACTTTTTGATATGTCAACTTTTCTACGGCCTCATTAAGAAAAGACCCTCAAAAATTAAAAAACATATTAAGTATTTTTTTAAGAAATGGATAGCATTTTCGATTTGATCCCACCTCAAAACCTAAATACAAAGTTTCATTATTATAGCTATTACAGGGTGTTCACAAAATAGGTGCAAATTTCAATGAATGCAGTGTCCTGTATTAACAGTGGAAAATATTTAAAGGTATTTTTTCATAATTTTAATTAATTTTTCCATGCATTTCCATTGATTTCACTCATACAGGAACCTCACAATAAGAGCCAAATTATATATTTTTTTATTATACCAGAAATGACACATCAAAATAAAATTTAATATTACTGTTTTCTATTAGTCCACTGTTTAATTCGTCTTCTCTTATTTCTAATAACTCTGCTCAACTGCTGTGGTGTTATTTGTCGACACGCTCGTCTAATTCTATTACATAAATCTTCTGGGGTCTTACGCATACACTTTATTTTTCAAATATAAAAAGAAATCAAGCGGTGTCAAGTCTGGATCTCTTGATGGCCACTCAACTAACGGACTGTTGTGACCTATCCATTTTCTTGAGAAATTCTCATTAAAAAAAATCTACGAATTGAACAGTGCATACAAAATGGTGGTGGGTTAATAGAAAAGGTAATATTTAAATATTATTTCGTTATGAAACTCATTTCTGATACAATAAAAAAAATATATAATTTGGCTATCATATTGTGAGCATCCTGTATGAATGAAATCAATGGAACTGCATGGATATATTACCTACTAGACCTTTTTGAGTACTATCACATAAAAAATAGAATTTTGGAAATCAGCTAACACCATACTAAGTACGGAGGTGTTCTGACTTTAAGTGAGACACACTGTACTTATATATATATATTTTTTTTGTAGGGTTTGGAGATAGTAAATCCACAAGCTGCCGAAGTGAAGGTGAACGAAGCCAACGCAAAGTATTTCTCAAATACTTCAGGATTTTTAAAGTTGGATAAAAAATAAGGTTTTTGAAAATGTAGAACTTTCTTAATCTTTATTGTCGAAAAAAAACAAATTAAATGACAAAAAAATTAAAGAAAATCTTGTTCATTGTGGATGTTGTAGAGCAAATTGTATCATCCCTAAAGTTACTTTAGAGTGACAAAAAATATTTGTAACAGAATATAGTACATAAATAAAATTTATTTAAAATAACATAAATAATAAATTCAATCATGGACTTTTGTTGCTTTGTAAATAAAAATGGTTGGGAGTTCTAAAAAAAAAAACAAGAACAAAATCAAATTTAATGTTTAGGAATTTATTTTATTTATATAATGAAATTGTAAAAACAATGTAATAAAAAAATTGATGAAACAACAACTGTACTCTAAACACATTTTTTACTCATTCTTTGATTTCTTCCCTTCATCCTCCTTCAAATGCAAAAACACCATTGAGAAAATAAATACTCCGAACATCATAGAGAATGCCGCGGTATAATATGGGTAAGCGCTTGTAATGAACCTTTCGTACTGGGTATGTTGCAGTGGACGGACAGACACTTGCGTAGTACTGAAAAGTCTCGTGTAACCGACTCTGTCATAGTCAACTTTGAACTGGTAGACACCGTACACATCTGGTATCTTGAATTTAGCCTCGTACTCTCCTGATGGTTTTCTCTGTAGGGTTGTACGGATGAACGGGTCGATTCTCACAAATTCAAGTTGGATGTCATTGGCATTAAATGGTTTCCACTTACCATCTTGGAAAATGTCGATTTCAATGGTGTACACCTAAAAAATGTTTTGAAGTTCTGTTACTATTCCGTCTCTAGACAAAATAAACAGATAAGACAACAACAAAATTAAACACTTTTTTCAAAATTCCCTGCATAAGAAATTTAAAAAAGTAACATATTTTTACTCATATTCAATATCTCCATATTTTAATATTTTTACTTTTATTCATTGTATCATACTCACTACATCATCCATGATAGTGTAGGCTTGGGGTGGTTTATCTTCCCCTGCTTTGTGATGTTTTACAGATCTCACCCTTAACTGACCATGTTCCTTAAACACCCATTGGCTAATGGCAATAGCTACATCTTCATTACCAGACACCGTAATTAATTCGCCTCCCTAAAATTATTAGTTTTTTATTTAAATATGTAGTAAGTTCAAATTATTCACACTCATAATCCAGTTCCAAAATTGTAGGCAATGAGTCATAAATAAATCTGTTGGCGCATGTGATAAATGATATTATTTTTATTTTCTCTTGCCTTTAAATAAAGTGGTTTCAAAACTACATACTCCCAGTATTTTGACAAAAAAAAACCAAATATGTAGTATTTTAAATATAAAACAGTATTTTGTAGTTGAAATACTTTAAAAAAGTATTTTGTATTTTAATATGCCAAGTATTTAAAATACCCAAAATACCGGCCAAAAACAAATACTTTTTGCCTGTTACGATTGGCGACTGATACAACACATGCTAAAAAAATTATGCACCTACACGCCTGGCTATAGCGTATTTTACTCTGCATTCTGCAATGTGCATTGTGTTATTGCTATTCTGTCCACTACCTTTTAGTCACTACCGTCACTTGTCAAGTCAGTAGTCAATCATCAAAATTTAAAATTAATTTCTTTTCAATCATTAGGGGGTATTCTAAGAAAAACTAATAAAAAATTATGAGCGACTTAAATAGTCTGCATCTCAGTAATCCAAATGGAAACGATTATTTCCAAAATATATAATCTAGTTTTTTTTAAACTTGAAATCGGGCTTGCCTTGCACATACAATATATATTTTTTAAGTCGTATCTTAAGAATTTCAGATTTAATATTTCACAAAAATATTTTAAATACTGTTGATGAATATTTTCAATATATTTAATATTCAACATACCTCAAATACTATTTTAATTACTAAGTAATTTATATTTAAAATACTTTGCGAAAGAAGTATTTTGTTGTTAAGTATTTTAAAATACTTTAGTACTAGTATTTTGTAATGTAATTTGTATTTTAAATACATTTTGAAAGTATTTTGCCCAACTCTGAGTGGCTCCCAACCAATGGTCGGAGGACCACAGGTGATCCACGATACTGAGTACAGCAAAATAATATTAAATAATCTGGAGCGTCAATTGAGGTGTTACGCAAAAATTGTATGGAAAATAAACGAGTAGTTTTACAAAGTATACATTCACAAACACATACACAACCATAAGCATAATACAACTTAAAAATTAGCCAAACTGCAGAGTGATGGTACTTGCAAAGACACTTTTAGTTCAGATATAAACCTGAAGAAGTTTTGCCGCAAGAAAACTTTCTTATCTGAAGCTGCGTGAAACTGCTTTAAGATTTTTGGTGATATTTTCCACAACTTTTCTTTATGAAAAAGGATTCTCAACATACTTTAACAAAAAATTGAAACAGGAACTGGTTGAACACAGGCGACGATATGTGCGTAGCATTAAGCAGCAACATCAACCTCAGAATTTCTCTACTAGTGAAGCAAATGCAAGCTCAGAAATCTCATTAATAAATGTTTTTAAGTCCTAATAATAGTTTGTTACATTTTTAAGAATGTTTGTGTATTGTTTCGCAATAAAATTTTAAAATGAAATTGTGTTTTTGTAATTATACAGGGTATTACAAATTAGTAGGTCAAGCAGTTAACCACATATTCTTTGTACCAAAATAATGGGAATTTTCAAAATACAGGGTGAAAAAATGATTTTTATTGATAACTCCGGTAATTGTAGATATTTATTTGAAATTTAACACATATTTTGATATTAAGTCGGCACACTTTTTGTGTAATTTTGTTTTAAAATCTCAAAGCGCGAAAGGAGGGGAGGGGGGTTGCAGTACCCATGGACCCTCTATTTTTTTTGAGTATTTTGAAAATGGTGCTCCAAAATGAAAAGTGACATAAGAAAAGTCTCATTATTTTAGTTCAAAGAATATGTGGTTACCGGTTTAACCTACTAATTTGTAACACCCTGTATAACACATGGCCCTGAAAAGCCAAATTTTGATTTAGTGGTCCGCCATCTTTCAAAAGTTGGGAACTACTGCTTTATATCATATTGGCAGTTGACATTCTGAAAATATATTTTTCATTCTGTTCGCCGCTTTTATTAAATTTATCCCAGCAAATTGCAACAAAACAATATATCTGTCCAGAATATGAACTGTAAAGTTAGTGAAGTGTTTAAGTAATTTTTTATAAGCCAAATTTATTATTTATTTTATTATCTCCCTCTGTTTCCGTCATCAATACGTGTTTCACTCTTACTTGAAAAAATGGATGATAGTGGCAATTACGGAGATTGAAAATTCACTTGATGAACTGTGATTTGTAGAAATATGTTGACGGTTCTAAAACTATTCCAAAACTAACCCCAGACTGAACAAACAGGTTATGGTGGTTATTGTTTCTGGTGTGAAGACCTTTCATGCTGATATTCGAAATTTAAAGAAGGGAAAATAAGTTTAAGATTGACTCAACAAAAGTTATGATAAGTATTTTTACATAGTGCCACATAGCTAAAGAAGGTCTAAGGTGTTTTGGTGATCAGATTTCCTGAGTGCATAATCTCCTACCGAGCTAAAGTGGATTGGCCACCACGACCTTGTGATTTGAGACCAGTAAACTTATTCCTTAGGGGCTACATTATAGGAAAAGTCCAGATAGTTATTGTAGAAAGATGTGCCATCAGGTGATACACATTTGGTATTTTTCAATGATGTTTGTATTTTTAGCAGTTTTAGTGGTTTTCTGTTTTTGTATCACCTTACTGTTACAATCACCTTACTGTTACAGCACTATGTAAGTGGTTTTCACAGGAACCACTTGTTCAATTAGCGAAAACATAAAAAAAAAGTAAGAAAGAAGTGTATGTATAAAAATATACCTATGTCTTGTTAAATATTTAATACCAATGTCGGTGTAAAGGAGAATCTAGTTTTCCCCAAAATCAACATATCTGTTTGTTATTCTAAAGGGTGTTAATGCTCAAATTTCACAGACGTATTCTATTGATGAAAATGATTGCCTAGAGTTACAAGGCGTTAAACTTTTAAAAACTTCTTTAACNTAGTTGGCGACGGCGACGTCTATAACAAGCACTCGCGTATAACGAGCAAATTTTGCGTTCCCGTGAATGCTCGCTATAACCGAGTTTTACTGTATATTTAATAATGTTTGGATCTCTAAAATGATACTTATGCTCTTGGAATCGCTTTTCCCACACGTCTACATGTTGAGAATGAGTCACTGCCTATTATTTTAGGCTTGAAGTATAGACATAACAGGTTAAAAATAATATTGATGAGGAAATTTGGATGTATGTTTCAATGTGAATAGGATTTTATAACTTACTTGTGCCTTTTGTACAGAAGACGTGAAGAATTCGTCTGAAAAGAACAACAGAGATCCACTAAATACAACCCTAGCATTGTTCCTGGCTTGTAAACCTGCAATAAGGACTGTGTCTTTTCCAACAGCATGTGGATACTACAAAAATAAAAGAATAAACTTAAAAATAGAACATAACTGAAAAATATTTTAATTTACCTCTTTAATTGGCTGATCAGGATTATAACTGTAAGCAGTACTGTCACCAGTCAAAAGTGGAAGTACAAGAGGATTTTCAGCATCAACTAGAATGCCAGTCCCTTGATAAAGCAATACAGATGTGTCTTTTTTGTTTCCAACTATTACAGGGGCATCAATAAGATTGTCTGAGGATATTACAAGTTTAGTGTGTTGACCTTCATCTGTCACATCGTAGTTCAGATGATCGATTACAAAAGCACCTTCTTCATCCACCTGGTTCGAAAGAAGAATATTCAGTAACATACAATATATTCCTTATTCAAATTTAAAAATATATCTATATTTATTACCTCAAAGCCACATTCAGATGCTAATTCTCTAAGGACGTCTCCTGTGACACTACTACCGGCAACTAAAACATTGCCCCCGTCATCAATAAACTGTGTGATGGTTTCTACATTCAAAGTTCCACCAAATTCTTCTACTGTCGGAGCAAATACAATTAAGTTCTTGTACAAATATTCCCCATATCTTGACAAAACTAATGAGGAATCATCAGCTATTTTAAAAGTTAAAGTGTATCCTCTTTCTGTAAAGATGAAAAAACATAAGCATTTGCCGACAACTTAACCTTTTTATAAATGCATACCTTGAAGAGATCTAAAGAAAATAGAATGCGTTTCTTTAATAACTTGATTATCTAATAATACTAGGGTAGGCCCTTGTGCATACGAGGCACTTATTATAGACAAAATTAAAATTATTAACACATACATTTTAATTTTTAAATTCACAATAAACACGTCACCAAACCACCACCCGCAGTCTACACCATAGAACGTGAAAGCATAGATAAGAAATAATGATGGGAGATTTCGAGTGAAAAATCGAGTGGTACTCGATTATTGAGATCACTCGAGATATCTCGAGATGTTTACTCCCACCACTCGAGTGATTATTACCCTACGGTTGCACCCCAAAATGTTAGTGCATACTGCAAATAGTCACTGATTGCGTAACCTTTTTTTTAGAATAAAACGAAAAAAAGTGGTTAGGTTTTAAAGTGCGTGAGCTTTTTTTTTTTTTTAGCTACGCTTATAAGTAATATATGACTAATACAAACATATTTGTGCGCCGCTGGGATGAAAACGACCAATATCTCGTATCTCGAGTGATCACTCGATTATTAGAAGTACTCGATTACCGATAACTCGATTATTAAAATTGGTCGATTATGTCCATCACTAATAAGAAAAGAACAAATACAAATACCAAAGACAACTCTGCAAATACCTGACAGTGGACACGAAATATGTTGACGGTTCTAAAACTACTCCAAAACTAACCCCAGACTGAACAAACAGGTTATGGTGGTTATTGTTTCTGGTGTGAAGACCTTTCATGCTGATATTCGAAATTTAAAGAAGGGAAAATAAGTTTAAGATTGACTCAACAAAATTTATGATAAGTATTTTTACATAGTGCCACATAGCTAAAGAAGGTCTAAGGTGTTTTGGTGATCAGATTTCCTGAGTGCATAATCTCCTACCGAGCTAAAGTGGATTGGCCACCACGACCTTGTGATTTGAGACCAGTAAACTTATTCCTTAGGGGCTACATTATAGGAAAAGTCCAGATAGTTATTGTAGAAAGATGTGCCATCAGGTGATACACATTTGGTATTTTTCAATGATGTTCGTATTTTTAGCAGTTTTAGTGGTTTTCTGTTTTTGTATCACCTTACTGTTACAATCACCTTACTGTTACAGCACTATGTAAGTGGTTTTCACAGGAACCACTTGTTCAATTAGCGAAAACATAAAAAAAAAGTAAGAAAGAAGTGTATGTATAAAAATATACCTATGTCTTGTTAAATATTTAATACCAATGTCGGTGTAAAGGAGAATCTAGTTTTCCCCAAAATCAACATATCTGTTTGTTATTCTAAAGGGTGTTAATGCTCAAATTTCACAGACGTATTCTATTGATGAAAATGATTGCCTAGAGTTACAAGGCGTTAAACTTTTAAAAACTTCTTTAACACTTACACATTGTAATTCCATAAAGTAACAGATAATTTTGGCACTTCTAAAAACTTACACATTTTAACTTCAGTTTTTACAAGACTTTTTCAACCCGAATTGTTCAGGAATTCTGAAGATACGTTCAAATTAAAAAAATATGGCAGATCTTTTTTTTTCTAACATAGGTACCCTGCCCATCTAGTAACTATGCCACTGTATATTTTAAAGTCATTTATCCACGCAAAAATAAAAAATATGCTCCAAATTGTATTACATGATCTGTTTTGGAATTTAAGTTATAGAAACAATTTCAAGAATGCATGAAACTATTAAATAATTACTCTCATCAGTAGAATATCTTGATGAAGTTCCATCAAACCTGTCACTAAGTACAGTTGAACTCGCTTATAACGAGCAGGGGATATAACGAGCACTTGGTTATAACGAGCAAATTGAAAAGTCCCTTCCGAATTCCCTATGTAACACGTGTATTTTTGTTCGGCTATAACGAACTCGTATATAANGAGGCACTTATTATAGACAAAATTAAAATTATTAACACATTCATTTTAATTTTTAAATTCACAATAAACACGTCACCAAACCACCACCCGCAGTCCACACCATAGAACATGAAAGCATAGATACATAGATAAGATATACTATGTAAGAAATAGATAGGCAACTCAATGAAAAAATGCATTAAATACGCCATCGGTGTTTCGAGTAAGAAACACTTTCAAGGGCAATTATTGCACACACGAGGGATATCAGATAAGTTTATTGGGTGTAAAGAGGCATACGATAACTTCTCATTATATTCGTAAGCTTATTCGCAAATACTGACCAAAAATATCAGACACGACGACTTGACTATACTCGGACCGACAGAACCGACACATTACGGACCCGTAGGACGCCCCGACGTTATCGACATTGCCCTCTTAAAATCTATACCGTTAAATGCCCAAATATCCACCCAATACGAAGGGTNCATATTTGTGCGCCGCTGGGATGAAAACGACCAATATCTCGTATCTCGAGTGATCACTCGATTATTAGAAGTACTCGATTACCGATAACTCGATTATTAAAATTGGTCGATTATGTCCATCACTAATAAGAAAAGAACAAATACAAATACCAAAGACAACTCTGCAAATACCTGACAGTGGACACCACGGAACCACAGATAATTAACAATTTTAATAAATTGATAACGACCTTGTAATGAACCGCGCGCCATTATTCCATGGCTAGAAATTGGCTTCAATGATTTGGGATCGAGGGGGATTATCCCTCTTTATCCTGCCTCATCTCGTGTAGGC